CAGGATTTAGTAGTGATTACAAAAAGGATATGATTAATCTTATTATTATTATTATCATTATTATTAATATCAATATTTCTATTATTAATTTATTAATTTGTTTGTTTGTTTGTTTGGTTGTTTTTTTTTTACGTGCATAAAGTAATTTTCATTCCGAATCTGATGTCTTCCAGGCAGATTCACTATGAGCGTACTCCTATCAATCGATCCTCTACTAAATCATACTATTTTCACTCTTTCGTTATTGTTATGAGGCTAAGGGCTGACGTACCCCTATTTACTCTTATTAATCATTAGTGCACACGTCGGATATTCACAATGTGGCATTGCTACTGGACAGCTTCTATCAATGCTTTTTTTAGCTTTCATAATACTTCCACGAGAAGTTGACGGGTTGGGCTCGGACACCCTGGTTGAAATAACGTTGTTCATCAAATGCCTCAATGTTTAATGCTGCGTCTAGCTAGCTTCCTTCATTTGATAGTCTTCTGCGGGAAATAATTTCCTTTTACACCGCTTATTGCAACTAGAATAAAAGGAATGATATCACTGTGGTGGTGAGTAAAGCGGCGGCGAGGGTAAGGGGCGTAGAGGGCAAGAAATTCAAAAATTATCACAAATTGTTAATTTCTCGCGCGCTGATTGGCTAATTTTCATTATCGATAAAAGGACAGTCCAATAAGCTGACGTCAAAGATCGTGCGCTCTTTCCGTTGCTATTTTTGATCACTATAAAAACGTCGAAAAAAATGCGTGTTAGTGAATTTTTTGTGTGGTAAATTTAAAAAATCAAAGTCAATTTTCTATGTGTCTGTACTTTACAAGAACATAAAACTACTCAGAAATGATCCAAACTCAAGTGGAACCACGAGCGCAGACTTTGATTTGTTTTTTACCATAACAAAGTCGAAAAGAATGAACAAAAAGACAAGTAAACCGTTTAAAAAAGCCTTTACATCCGCTCGCTCAGTGCGCGCGTGCAGATGTCGTAAACACAAGCAGGTCTAGCCTCTAATCGAAAATGGTCCTAAGCCAATCAGCGCGCGAGAAATTTCCAAGTTAAGGTAAGATGGCAAATCGAAGTTCCTTTTCAATGGTCTGTACTCTTATCGAATATGGGATTGCGTCAGAATATGATCCAAACTTTGCAGTGAAACCACTCGCTGCGTTCGTAGTTCCACTTGAGTTCGGAATATATGCTGACGCCAATCCAAGTTCGATAAGAGTACAGACCATAGTAACCGGACCTCGATTTGCTAAATAGAACATGTGGAAGCATGTGAGATGTCAAAGCAAAAGAATATTATTTTTAACAGAGACAGTGGCAGAATTCTGCCAGCAAATTACATAAATATTTTGTGATTTTCAATGCTCGTGCTTTCAGGTTTGTGCGCGCGATTCTTTTGCTCGCGCATATGCACAACGTTTGATCGCTTAGGTTTTGTTAATATTGTAACGTATTTTAGTTCCTCTGAATATAAAATTATTTTTAAAGGTTGATGAGTCAATTTGAGTTTCATAAATAGAACATGTTTATAAATGAGGTAATCTCAAATGAAATGGCGCCATACGTCATATTGTGGAGCTGTGATTTGTTGCATTACTTTGAAGTTTTATAACATAAATATTACCGAGTGTGATAGCCTATAAACTCAAAACTCTACTTACATGACGGCGAGAACGATTATCAACAGAATGAAGACAGTTCCCCCAACAGCAGCTCCGACGATAAAATGCAACATGTCTTTATCCCTATTCAAATTTTCCCCTTCTCTCGACTTTTCTTTATATATTGAAAAGTCAATGATGGATGCGTTAAGAGCCCTCTCGATATCTTCTTCAAAGGCATTCAAGATATTGAGCACGAGTTCACTGTTTACAGTACTCCCGGTCTGTAGCATGACAGCTCGGGGAAAATTAATGTAAAAAGCAATGCGTGCAACTAGAGAGGAAGCTAGGTATTTCTTTAAATTGATTTGAATTGGAAAACCAGGCATAAGATGAATATCGTCTTGGGTCCAAGTGATGAGCCTTGTGAAACGCCTGAAAGGTTAGAATAGATATTGAGATAGATATTGAGGCAATTATGCAAATCATGGGTTTATAATTTCATGGTTAACACTTTTACATACCTTGCTCCCTTTACTTCACTTGAGCAATCGTTACCTTTCTCATTACAATATGATGTAATAGCTTTTGCCATGGTCTTTTTGAATTTTTCTTCTTTTGGCTTATTCCACTGATAAGTCAATACAAACAAAAGGTCAATGAACATGACCGCGTGCAAGGGCGGACCCAGGGGGCAAATGGGAACTGAATCTCCCCCACCCCCCCAAACTTCAGCAGAAAAAACACAAAACAAAACTGAAGAATTAGATGCTTTTTTATCGTTTTCCGTTGTGTTGACGGTAAAACTCAATCAGCCCCCCCCCCCCCTCCATTTTGGCTGGATCCGCCCTTGGCGTGCGCCGTGTGATAAATGTCCAAAATTTATTACCAACGTCTCACCTTGGACGCATTGAAGTTCTTAATGGTGATGTTGACAGCGTTCATTGTCTCATTCTGGTTTGGTTTCTTTGGTTTGGGGGCTGGCGGAGGTGGAGGAGGATCTTGTCCTTTCTTAAGGCCTTTAACATAAAACACTTGCATTAAGACTGGATAATTAAAACTTTGATTTATCAAAACATGTTCCAATGTTTGATAAGGAAATGATGAAGCTTCTTCTTACCGATACACTTCTTGAGCGTGACATTCCAGTATAGTCCTTCTTCGCACTCGCATTTGTACGACCCATCTGTATTCATACATTTCAGGGAAGGGTCTGAGCAGTTGAACGTCCACTCCATGCATTCATTGATATCTAAACACAAGTGACCATGTTACTGTACAAAATTTACTTAAAAGAAGTAAGGGCTTCGAGTCATGAGGTATTTCCGATTCCGGTTCTCGATGCAAATGCTAAGATAAGCCAACCGTTGTAATACAAATTATATTTCCCACTTGCCATTAGAAGAATTTTCCTACAATAAAGAAAACTGAAAGAAAAATATTTGCAAAACTACCTTTACTTTATGATCCATGGATCTTTTCTTGCACGAATGATACTGCCATCTTAAAGCTTTATTTATTACTTAACGCGGAAAAATAAATTTTATTACGACATACATTCAGGCATCATCTTACTTATATGGTTATCAAGCATACGAAATATAAGTCGTACCAACACAGGTTTTGTTGTCAGAGGAGCTCGAGAGTTCAAATCCTTGAAGACATGAACAATAATAGCCGCCTATCGTGTTGTTACATCTTTGGTTACAGCCGTTCTTTGTGGCACACTCGTTCACGTCTGCAATGGCATCCAAAATACAATATCAGCTGATAACCATAAGCTACGTCAATTCGTTACATCGAACTACGTCAATCCCTGCTCATTTCTAGGGAGATACTCAGACGTACTGCAAACACCAAAAGAATGTTTGGACTACAGGCTGTGCCGTCATTGGACTATCTGACTTTGACTCTCTATTTGACTTTGACTTTCTCTCACTGATAAGTCACATCAGCCAGGTGTACAATAATGTCAGGGAATGTATTACAAGGATGTTGATTATGAGCAGGTAATTTTCTGGTAAATGCACGGGGTGTTGTTGGTACCTTGGCATGTTTTCTGGTCATCCTTCAGTTCATATCCTTTGTAGCACGAACATTTCTGCTGACTATCCGATAGTTTGTAACAAACTTGTTTGCACTCGTGTTCACCTTCATTGCAGGGATTTTCGGCTGTGAACAAAGAAACAGCTGCTTGATACGACGCACAGGAAAACCAACACGGCCATTCCAAGGAAACGCCAATAACGAAAAGGAAATTTTCTGTCCCCTTTATATACAGCAAGACTGCAATTCAAACGCCAATATACTTCGTTTTTATAACATAACCCTTTTAACTACCCATTCTTTTTTTCTTCTTTTTTTTCACATAATTTCCATGAGGCAATCAAGTAACCAAAAAGTACAAACAACAAAAACAAAGAGAAAAGACGAACGAGGGAACTCAGAATTACCACATACGAGGGAAAAAATAATTCCCATAAGACATTCAAGTGTCAATATGTGTCGATATAGACCAAATTCAAAACTCGCACCGATGTGAGGCTTAAGTTGTGAACAAAGGAATCTGGCGTGATTCGTGACTTTTGAATCACGCCACATTAATTTGAGTCACGCCAGATCCCTTTGTTCACAACTTAAGCCTCACATCGGTGCGAGTTTTGAATTTGGTCTATAATATAAGAAAGTCAAGTTTAAAAAAGTGAATAAAAATACTAAAAAAGAAGAGAAAACTAAGAGCGAAATAATTCAGGTTTACTACTCACGAACACACAGCTTTGAGTCTCCTGGTTTAACTTTGAAGTTGTCGTAGCAAGAACAATTGTAACTTCCTGGAATGTTTGTACATTTGTGCATACAGTCGCTTGCCAGAACACACTCGTCTATGTCTACAAGTATAGCATAACAAAACCTTGATTAGCTATGCATTGAACCAGTCGAGGTGACGCGTTTAGTACAGTGGTGGATTTTGGGGGGTCACAGGGAGCCCATGGATCCGCCTATTTGTGGCTTGCGTTAATGTCGGGCTTCGTTTTGCGTTCGCCAAAGTCATATCTATCATCGCTGTGTAAACAAAGTGCCCTATGTACTGCCAAAATAATTGGATTATACGAGCAGACGAGAGCACAAAAGAACCGCTCTTGCTTTCTACCCGGTCTATTTTACTGTACTGAAGGTACATTTGATTAACTTATTAAAGGTGAGTAATCGCTAAAGAAGCGACGCCGGCGCTGCTTGGCACGGATAGTGCAGCGGTAAATACTCAGAGCGTACGTACAGCTGATTCAAACCAGGAAGACCGTTGGTGGACGTGGTAAATATATTCACATCGTACGGCTGATTCGAACCAGAAAGACCGTTGGATGGAAAGATAAGTGAACACTATTTAGTATCCATTTAGAAACAAACATATATCAATTCAATTAGAAATCTACGAATAACTGAAACAATCGCACATATTTAATACCCAATCCGTCTGTCCTGGCGCCCTTGTCTAGATAAGAATTATTTACGTGGAGGGAACTTACCTTGACAAGTTTTCTTGTCTGCGTTGAGCTGATATCCGATTTTGCAGGAACATTCGTAAGACCCTGGTTTATTGAGACAAAGCTGCTCACAGTCTCCATTATTATGGTCACACTCATCAATGTCTAAAAGAAAGAAGCCATTAATCTTTTATCTCCATTTTATTCCTGGTCTTTGGTTCTAATGGTGATCAACATTTAGCAAGTGGTTTTAGGTTCCTAGGATAATTGTATAGTGCAACTTATCCACGATCCTCACATATCAAGCTTTTCTCTATATGTTAATGTCGAAGTTGGAGTAGAGAAATCTCACTCCATATATGGTATGAAAAACTTTGCAAAATCGAGGAAGGATAGGATAGGGAGCAGATCCTTCATCGTACCGCAAATCTATCAACTGTGCACACACTGGCGTACCTGTACAAGAGGCTCCATGCCCTGAGTATCCAGCGGGGCAAGATGCGCATTTGTAGCCATCAGTCACGTTAGCTGGAGGCGGCAAGTCAATGCAATCTACTCCAGGATAACAAGGGTTTAGATTTGCTTCACACGCATCGATATCAGTCTCACAATACTTCCCCGTGTATCCATCCACGCAGTTGCAAGCATTCTCGATAAACTTCTCTTCCCCTGAGTCTGCGCCTGTGATCTTGCTTGGCTTTTCACAGTGTCCTCCGTGGTGACATGCGCAGAGGTAGATTTTTGGTATTAAAGCGGATACAGATTCACCATCTGATGCGATAAACTGCAGGTCAAGCTGATAAAATAATGACCTCTTGTTAGCATATTGTACTTTCGTATTTTGTTGTATCTATGAAATTTCAATGCGTGCAAAGCACAGCGTCTTTTGAAGCTAGGTGACATGACGCCACTACCAAAATAGCCGCCGTCATGAATATAATTTTACAAAGTCAAACAATACAGCACAATAGAAAGTATATACTTGGAAGCGGTTGTTAAAAAGGTGTTTTTTTACCTTTTTTGTGGTAACGTGCCAAGTGATGGTCCAATAAGATGAGTTTGAGTGTCTCACGCGTCCGTCAGCAGGTAGACCAGTGACATTCAAAGTAATCGAATCATTGTTAGCATCCGTCACCTCCACAGTCACATTAGCTGTTGTATTGACTGTAAGTTCTATTACTGAGGAATTTTTGCTGATCTTAGGTGGTTCGTTGCCTGTGTTTAAAGTGGTAAAAACACACCGTTTGAATGTACAGACAACCTGTAAGCTCAGTTGGTTGGGCAACGGCATCTCTTGCGGGAAGTCATGGGTTGTCAAGCTCTGACCGAACCAACTTCAACAACACTCAGGGCCTTATAAAATAAATGAGTAGAAGGTGCTGCTCTAGCTCTAAGGATACCTACAAATGCTTAGACCAGCATTTGTCGTGGCTCGGATGACCACGTAAAATGGCGGTCC